AGAGAGAGAGAATGAAGCAGATTCCCCCTGCCGAGCAGGGAGCCCTATACGGGGCTCTATCCCAGGACCTGGAGATCATGACCTGAGCTGAAGGCAGATGCTTAACTGATTGAGCCACCCAGGCGCCCCAAATAAATATTGTTTTTATATTTTACTGAACAAACTGTAAAACTGAAAATTTTATTTACAGTACCTTTAAGATATAAAATCTTTAATTACCAACAGATCTAAATATTTACAAACAAACCAATATATTTCTCTGTAATCTGTTTCTTTCCTTTTTTCCCTGTCCCTCTCTGTCCACTTGTCTGTCTGTCTCTGTCACTCTTTCCTACTCTCTCCTAAACTTCTCATTATTCTACGTTCTGACTAAAATTAAAACATGAATTTTTACAAATAGCTTTCTTTACAGCAGAAGGTGAAGTCATTTGGTGACACCACTCCTGAAGTGGTGTCCAATCTCACTTAGGTAAATCTCCATCTATTTTGCCAAACAGGTTTGGCTGCTAGGATTGATTTCACTTATCAGGTTACTGGAGAAAACAAACCTAAGTCAGGCAAGCAACGCTTTATGTGGCTTATAAAAACCTTGTCAAAGTTTGGGTCTTTGAGCTGGCTTAAAAGTGTTTTTAAAATGGTAACATTTTGTTTACATAATCTGTTTAATTAATGTGTTTTATATAAATATCATCATTGGTTCAAGTAATACAAAAATGGACAAAAAAAATATCCAGTTCCTGATTCCCAACAACGAGAAATGTTTCCTGATTCTTGCAACTTTTTCCTCTCTGGGGAGGGGAAGGAGATAAATATATAGTATATAAGGTAGATTAAATTGTACTCTCTGTTTTAAATAAGGGCTGTTTGGGGACATGTTAGGTTGTAAGAGCTGAGGTATGAATAATTGACATTATCTAAATAAAACCTGGGCTGTGCCTTCTCCTGGAATTTCCAAAAATCAGCTCACGGAGGGAGAGAAAGGAGGGGAAGGCAAGGGGCTGAACAAATCATAAAGTGACAAGCGCTCTTAAGGAACCCCTCAATGCTCTCATGTCTAACAGCCATGAAACACCATGCGGATGTTTACCATTTAGCCTTGTCCATTGGAATGGGACTTTTGGATCTGGGTGCCAGATCCGATCTTTCCTCAGTTTCCTTTTGATTCGGAAAATGACATCTCTATACAGTCAATTGCCTAAGCCAAACATTTAGGAGTTGTTCTTTGTTTCTCTCCTTCTGTCAGTCCCATATACAATCCATCAGCAAGGTCTCCTGGCTTTACCTCCAAAGTATTTTCCCTATCTTTTCATTCATTTTTATCCTGACCATTACCACCCTATACCAATCCATCATAACCACTTGGATAATAACCAATTCGCCACCTTCTCTTGCAATCCATCTTCTTCTTCCCAGCATTCATAATGTTGCTTTTAATTCATCAAGCAGATAATTTCTTTCACTGGAAATCTTTGGTGGCTCCCTAATGCACTTGGAATTAAACATAAGCTCTCTGACATGGCTAAGTCAGGTCTCAACTCAAATGATCCTTTCTCAAAGAGATCTTCCCTGACCACCTATCGAAAGTGTCTTTTCTCCCTGTACTCTCTACTGCCCCAAGCTTGGTTTTATTAGCTTATCAGAACATATTGCAATGTGATATTAACTCACTAATTTTTTTGTTCACTTACTTATTTTCCATTTTTATCCCACTGAAAATAAGGGTCTTTGAAGGTAGAAACTATGTCATATTCAAGGTCCCCATCCCCAGCTTCTGAAAAGTGCCTAGCACCTTGCAGGCACGGCATATATGTTTGGTGAATGAATGATTGAATGAATAAATGAACAAACTTATAAAGGAAGCACAATTATCATCAGGTACCACCATAAATTAGTCAAAAACAGGTCCTAATTCTTTCTGTGAAGTAGGTTTGCTAGATCCAAAGACTTGGGTCATGCTGCAGACGTGGGATATACGGATTTCAGGAAAAAAAAAGAAAAAGGATAAATACTTTAAAATATATGTGGACAAGATAGAGAAATGTAAATTCACTTTACAATTATTTAGATTCAAATTGCTCTGTTCTTAAGTATATTATTTCATCAAATTGATGAATATTATTGAGCTATTACTTTATGCTAGACACATTTTGAGATCTGAGGCATTCAGTACATCTATGTCTAACATAAGATTTGTGGAATCTAGTTTGATAACTGAATTAGAATGAAGGCTGAAATACTTGTCTACACTTAACAAAGCAATTAAACAAATAATTGTCTACACTTAACAAAGCAAAGAAGGATTAACGTAGGAATTAGCAGAGTCCTACAAAGTGGATTGTACAAATGGTTTAAACATGACAACACTCAGAAAAAAAAAAGCCATCTGTGGGTGTTACCTAGCTGTCAGTTTAAGAGAAATTAGAGACAGGTTGAAGCCAATAAAAATACCTCAGTTGCCTTCGTAGAAGTTTATACTTGTCCAAAACCAGAGATTTTTGGTTGTAAGAAGCAGAGCAGGAACAGAGACTAGAAATAACAAGGAGTAGGGTTTAAATATTAAATTCGGATACATTTTTCTAGTGATCAGATAATAGTTTTTGGAGAAACATGTTCTAGTACTTGTTGGATGACTATTTTCAGAGTAATTGTGGAGAAACTTCATGCTGTATATTGTATTCTGTACATTTACAGATTTTCAGAAAAGCATGTGCCATGTTGAGCCCTTTAAAGATAAATAGGTAAAACGCATTAGGACACCAACAGAATCTAGAAAACATGTACCATCATAAATAAGGGAGTGTAGCAAGAGAACCCCCTTGTGGCCGGAGAATATTTATTCCAAATGAAGACTAGCTAGAGCTAGTTAGATTTTTCTTATCATAGACCCAGCACACTTAAATTGTGGGTTCATTGTACCCCGTGCACTAATTTGATGTCATCATGTTTTTCTGTTTTTGTTTGGTTTTCTTTTCTCTTTCAAAAGCAATTTGATGCATAACACATACGGAAAAATATATAAATCACCAGTATATAGATCAATGAATTATCAGAAATTGAACACGCCTATGTAACCACACCCAGATCCAGAATAAGAATATTACTAGCACCCAGAATACTCCCCTTGTTCCCGCTTCTAACCATTATCCCTGCAAGGGCAGCCATTATTCTGATACTTAACACCACAAGTAGGTTTTGATTATGCTTGAACTTTGGTAAATCACACCATATGTATTCTTTTTCCATCTGGCTTCTTTCACTTGACATTATGTCTGTGGGATTCATGTCTGCATACTGCGTTGTCGATATGGTTCTTTTGTTCTCAGTGCGGTACAGTATTCCATTTTGTGCATACACCCTAATCTACTTGTTCTATTGTTAATGGGCATTTGAGTAGTTTTCAGTCTGGGAAATTGTAAACAGTGCTGCTAGGAACATTCTTTTTTTTTTTTTTTTTTTTTTTATTTTATTTATTTATTTGAGAGAGAGAGAATGAGAGATAGAGAGCACAAGAGGGAAGAGGGTCAGAGGGAGAAGCAGACTCCCCGCTGAGCAGGGAGCCCGATGCGGGACTCGATCCCGGGACTCCAGGACCATGACCCGAGCCGAAGGCAGCCGCTCAACCAACTGAGCCACCCAGGCGCCCTGCTAGGAACATTCTTGTGCATGTTCTCTGATGAATATGCTGATGAGAATGCAGAGATGCTAGAATTGCTGGGTCATAAGCCATGCATATGCTCAGCTTTCACTGATACTGTCCCGGGGGATTTTTAAAGTCATCGCACCCATTTCTAGCTCCACAACCCGAGTTGCCATTGTGCCACATTCTAGCTAACATGTGGTTGGTCTTTTTCGTTTTAGGTGAATAGTGGTATCTCATTGTGGTTTTACTTTTTCATTTTCTTGATGACTGATGAAGTCGAGTACCTTTGCATATGCCTACTGGCCATTCAGGAAATGCTCATCTTTCAATAGAAAATCACTGTATATGATTTGTGGGTGTTGAAATGTTCTGTAGATGAGTTCTCTGTTGAATATAAGAATTGAAAACCTCCTCTCCAAATTTGTGGGATGTATTTTCATTCCCAATGATGTGTCATTTCATAAGAAATCCTCCACTTTAATATTTTTCACTTTATCAGATTTTATGGTTAGCACTTTTTGCATCTTATTTAAGAATGCTTCATCTACTCCGAAGTCTGGAAATGTTCTCATATAATTTTCTTCTAAAAAAGCATGATTGTTTTATCTTTCACATTTAGATTTACAATTCATCTGGAAATTTTTGAGTGTGGATCGAAATTAATGTCTTTTCTGTAAGGCTATCTGGTTAACTCAGAACCATTTATTGAATAAAGCACCATTTCTTATCTGTACTCCAGTGTGTGTTTGTCACGCATCAGGTGACTATGTATCTGTGCGTCTGTCTCTGGACTCTATTCCGTTCAATTGGTCAGTTTGTCTCTCTTTCATCAATAACCCATTGTCATATTTATGATGGTTTTATAATAGTTTTGTAGTAGTGAGTCCCCAAGTTTTGTTGTTCTTCTTCTGTTCCGGTTATCAGTTTATTGCCTCTTAGTTCCAAATTTATCCTTTATTGAGGAGTTTCTGAAATGGAAACGGTCCCTTTAAATGTTTTTTCCTTGCCTGCTGGCTCAAAGTTCAGTTTTGCCAGTAGAGGGCACTGGAGAGACATTGCAAGAGAGGCGTTCTGCTTCCTGGTTCTGCAAGTTCTGAAAAGTGGGGCTTTTTCAGGGTCCAGCTCCTGCAGCACGCACAGCCATTTCAATGCCGGGCCCCTTTGGTGCATGGTGGCCTGCAGCCCCCAGCAGCCCGCCGCGTTCCCCCGTATTCCCCCTTTTGAGCGGTTTTGCAGCCGAGGGACTCCAGTGAGACTCCTCTGAGCAGCTTTCCCTAGCACCCAAGGGGGTGAATTTCCAGCCATTTTCACAGTTGCACTACAGGTACTTCTTTGCCATTTAGTGAGCCAAGGCCGTAACCAGGTCTTGTTCGTACACCTGTTGGGACATCTTCCTGTGTGTCCTATTTCACCCTAAGGGTAAGATTATTCCTGACATCTGCTCTCTACTATAGTTTTTAGTTTTTTTCTTCTAGCTAATCCCTCATCACTACCATACACTGTTAACTGTAAATAGTTCTTTAAATTAAACTTTCCCAGATCTTACTGTGTGGTTTCTTTCTCCTGATTGTATCCAGGCTGATATAACATCTTTATAATAATGTCTTCCAATATGTGAACATGGTATTTTTCTGTTAGTTCTATTCTTGTAAATCATATGATACATTTATTCCTAATTTTTTCATGTATTGTATTTTATTATTAATTTTGCTGTTGTTCTTATATAGGAATCTAGTAGATTTCTGGCAATTTACCTTTTATCCACTGAGCTTGATAAATTTACATATGAGCTAATAGTGTGTCTGTATATTCTTCCTTATTTTTCACATACACAATCTTGCTTATGTAAATAACTGGGTTTATTTTTTCCTTTCTAATCCTTATACTTTTTATTCCTATATCTTGACTTACTGCATGTCTAGATTTGAGGCCTCAAATATTGACTAGAACTGGTAATAACAAATAGTCTTGCTTTTGGAAAAATGTTTCAGTTTTACACCATTAAATATGATGCATGCTGTATTTGTTTATTACCAGCCACGCTATTGGATTAGGGAGAGTTCATTCTATTCCAAGTTAAGGTTTTTAAAAGTTAAAAAAATTTTCTTTTAAATTTTTAGAGAGTGAGATAGTGTGAGTGCAGGGTGGAGGGGCAGAGGGAGAGGGAGAGAGAGACTCTTAAGCAGGTTCCACGCTTTGCACAGAGTCTGCCCGACAGGAGGCCTGGAGGCTCAATCTCACGACCCTGAGATCGTGACCTGAGCTGAAATCAAGGGTCAGACACTCAACCAACCTAGCCACTTGGGTGCCCCTAAAGTTTTTTTTTTTTAAGTTTGGTTAATTCTTTTTTTTTTTTTAATTTTATTTTATTATGTGAGTTGGTGTCGGAGTTTAAGTGCTTTACCCTTGAATTAATATTATTATGTTATTTTTATCTTTTTTTATTAATATGCCAAATTACATTGCTTTTTCAATGTAAAAACACCCGTATTATGGCAATGAACGTGTCATTGTAGGTTGTTCTTCCTGAGACTAAGTCTGAGTTTAAATCAGTTCACTTTTCATCTTTAATACAGAGTAATATGAAATCAATAAATGATAAGGTAAATGTTTAATCATAAGGAAAGGGAATCATTTAATCATAAGGAAACCATTCATTTTTATTATTTTTATTTTCTCAAAAGAGACACTTTTCTTTAAATATGTTCTACCTCCCTTTAGAAAAGTAGATTGTGTCTAAATGGCTAGTACTAGGTTCTTCTTTAATCTTTGGGGCTTCTAAGTTGTCATTCACCTATTTCATTTAATTCATTTTTCATGTATATCAAGCAGCTAAGGTATGGCAAGCAGAGAGGGGGGAAAACTACAGAGGAGGAAGGAGAAGGCCAAAGAAGGAAACATGCTGAGAAGGCAGAATAAAGTAAGAAGGAACTATGAGATAGGAAGCCAAGGGGGTGGCAGGGAAATGAAATCTTCGAGGCAAGACAGTACTGGGAAATAAATGACCCCAAGTTTGTGGCAGGAAGAGGCTGCAGAGGAAGAACGGGGAGAGCCATGGAGGAGAGGGAAGGCAGAACCACACTTTGATTTCCCTCAGGTGAGGTAGCCCTGGCTCCTCGGTGTTCCCGACTGGCCACACGAAGTGGGTGATACTCCCTGCTTTGAGAGGGGGTTCCCTTATCCAGCTCCGGGAATATCTCAAGTGACAAAAACAAACAAACAAACAAACAAACAAACAAAACTGGCCATTTCAGTCTTTGAGGCCTGGAGTGTAGGATTTAGGGCTTTACTCCAGGGAGGCCCAGGAATGATTTCAACCACTCATTATTGCCACCAACCTAGGACTTGGGAGATGGAAATATCCTCTCTTCATATTTCTCCATCTTCCATTTCTTTCTCTTTAAACAGCCTCTGTATACCTTTTAAGAAGATTTATTTCTTTATCAATAAATGGCATTCTCAAAACTCAATGAAAATATCAATATATTTTTATATATGTGGTTTTTAAAAATATATTTTTAACTGATAAAAGGTATATACAGCAGATCTTGTAAGTACGCTAGTAGCTCAAAAAAGATGGCCATGTTACCTCCTAATCCAGCAAAGGTGACATTAATTCATTCTGTGGTTTTTCTGTGCAGGTAGCTTTTTCATATTCTATTGCCCATGGTCTAATAACTAAAAATATTTTAAAAAGAACCAGAAGATTATTATGTGTTTGCCTTAAATTCTTTTTTTTTAATGTTATGTTAGTCACCATACATTATATCATTAGTTTTTGATGTAGTGTTCCATGATTCATTGTTTGTGTATAACACCCATTACTCCATGCAGTACATGCCCTCTTTAATACCCATCACCAGGCTAACCCATCCCCCCACCCCCCTCCCCTTTAAAACCCTCAGTTTGTTTCTCAGAGTCCATAGTCTGTCATGGTTCATCTCCCCCACCGATTCCCCCCCCTCTTCATTTTTCCCTTCCTTCTCCTAATGTCCTCCATGCTGTTCCTTATGTTCCACAAATAAGTGAAACCATATGATAATTGACTTTCTCTTCTTGACTTATTTCACTTAGCATAATCTCCTCCAGTCCCAGCCATGTTGATGTAAAAGTTGGGTATTCACCCTTTCTGATGGCTGAGTAATATTCCATTGTATATATGGACCACATCTTCTTTATCCATTCATCTGTTGAAGGGCATCTCAGCTCTTTCCACAGTTTAGCTATTGCAGACATTGCTGCTATGAACATTGGGGTGCATATGGCCCTTCTTTTCACTGCATCTGTGTCTTTGGGGTAAATACCCAGGAGTGCAATTGCTGGGTCATAGGGTAGCTCTATTTTTAATTTTTTGAGGAACGTCCACACTGTTTTCCAAAGTGGCTGTACCTACTTGCATTCCCACCAACAGTGTAAGAGGGTTCCCCTTTCTCCACAACCTCTCCAACATTTGTTGTTTCTTGCCTTGTCAATTTTTGCCATTCTAACTGGTATAAGGTGGTATCTCAATGTGGTTTTGATTTGAATTTCCCTGATGGCTAATGATGATAAACATTTTTTCATGTGTCTATTAGCCATTTGTATGTCTTCTTTTGAGAAGTGTCTATTCGTCTTCTGCCCATTTTTTGACTTACTTGTTTTTTTGAGTTGAGTTTGAGAAGTTCTTTATAGATCTTGGATATCAGCCCTTTACCCATAATGCCATTTGCAAATTGAGTTTGAGAAGTTCTTTATAGATCTTGGATATCAGCCCTTTACGTATAATGCCATTTGCAAATATCTTCTCCCATTCTGTGGGTTGCCTCCTTGTTTTGTTGACTGTTTCCTTTGCTGTGCAGAAGCTTTTTATCTTGATGAAGTCCCAAAAGTTCATTTTCACTTTTGTTTCCCTTGCCTTTGGAGATGTGTCTTGAAAGAAGTTGCTGTGGCCGATGTCGAAGAGGTTACTGGCTATGCCTAGGATTTTGATGGATTCCTGTCTCACACTGAGGTCTTTCATCCATTTTGAGTTTATCTTTGTGTATGGTGTTAGAGAATGGTCGAGTTTCATTCTTCTGTATATAGCTGTTCAATTTTCCCAGCACCATTTATTGAAGAGACTGTCTTTTTTCCATTGCATATTTTTTCCTGCTTTGTTGAAGATTATTTGACCATAGAGTTGAGGGTCCATATCTGGGCTCTCTATTCTGTTCCATTGGTTTATGTGTCTGTTTTTGTGCCAGTACCATGCTGTCTTGTTGATCACAGCTTTGTAATATAGCTTGAAATCAGGCAACGGGATGCCCCCAGCTTTGTTTTTTTTCAACATTTCCTTGGCAATTCAAGGTCTTTTCTGATTCCATACAAATTTCAGGATTGTTTGCTCCAGCACTTTGAGAAATGCCATTGTTATTTGCTTAAATTCTTTATTGCACCTCATCTTATTCTTAGGTTGATGCATTGCCTCACCTAATCTCATTCTGTGTTGGTTTTATGAGCATAAAATCTATGTCTGTTTATGTCCCCAGGGTTTAACACAGAGTGTTTTATATTGGTGCTCAATCTATTTTTTATTAAAAGAAGAAAGAATGGATGGGTGAATGGATGAATGAATGAATAAGCAAATGCAAAAGGCTAAAAACTAGTCTCTTTGATTCTGGTCTTGTCCTTTGTTATAGTCAGAAATCTATAATGGCCCCCCAATGGCCTACCTGCTTGTACAACTCCCTCCCCTTGAGTGCGGCAGAGATCTGAAGATGATGGGATATCACTTCCATGATTCATTTATTGTCTTTAAGAAAGAGATTATCTTGAAAAAATTAGGTGAGCCATTAAAAGAAAGGGACTCTTTCTGAAGGCAGAGACTCAAGGCATGAAGGAGATTTGACACAGGGAAGATTCTGCTGCTGACCTTGGAGGATTCTGTTGCTGCCATCTTGTATAAGATGAGTGCAAAGGTTGTTGTCAAGAAACTGAGAGCAACGACTAGGAGCTGAGAGTAGCCTCAGGCTGGCAATCAGCAAAGAAAAGGGGACCTCAGTCTTACACTTACAAAGAACTAAATTCTGCCAGTAGCCTAAATGAGTTTTGCATCAGATTCTTTCCCAGAGAAAGATGGGACCACAGTTGGCCAATGCCTTGAGTGAGGCACCCTGAGCAAAAAATTCATTTGAACCATGCTGGGTTTCTTGATCCATGGAAACTGTGCCATAATGAATGTGAGTTGTTTTAAAGCCTCTAGGTTTATGATATTTGTTACAAAGCAAGAAAAAACTAACTCTTCTTCCTAAGACTTTGAATTTTGATCATGCCATTCTTCTGCCTTTAGAATCTTCATATTGTCTTCATGATAAAATCCAACTTAAATAAAGACTTTTAAAATCCTAATCACTTCCCTAGCCTCATTGCTTGCCAGTTTGATGATGTCGGTCCATTCCAGGCAGTATAAAATCCTTGGAGGTCCCTGATGACACTGTGCTCTCTCTTGCTTCACTTCTTCCTTATACTTTGTAGGGGCCCAAGGTGGGCTGCCCCCAAAGGTACCACAATGACATATTGATTATTTTGAATTGAAGCTACTTGGGAAAGAGTTGGTGCAAGGACACTTAGACCTTCTCTGACCCCCAGAAAGCAGGAAATAAATCTCTTACATGAAAAATATCCTCCCTGTACTAAGAAGTAAAAAGACACCCTTATCACCAAAGAGAGGGACTTTAAAGCCAAGAAAGCAGTAGAAATAAACCTCAGTGTGTGTGTTTGTATGTGTGTATATGTGTGTGTGTACTAATCTATAGACCTATAGCTACCTCAGCCCAAATTCCACTTAGAATTCCTTACTAATGAAAGTTCCCAAACATCTCTTTTCTTTATCCTGCCAAGTTCTCACAAATTTATTGTCTCTTTGTCTAAATTGTATAAAAACTGCCTGCCTTTGTCATTTCTTCGGGTCTCAACTTTATTATTGGGCCTCCATGTACATATCCTAAAACTTTGTTTTTTCCTTTTGTTAATCTGTCTCATGTCAGTTTAGTTCCTAAACCAGCTGGAAAAACCTTGGAGGGAAGAAGGAAATTTCTTCCTTCCCTACAACTTTGTGTCTCAGTCTAAACTTTGATTTGCTAGCTTCTACTAGTGCCCTAAGCCTGGGTGAGTCCACTGTCATCCTGGTGCCCAGGGGATCTGGTTTTTACCCCTTTTGTAGCACGTAGGACATGAATATAGCTGTCTGTGTACCTGACGGTCTCCCTGAGCACACGACATTTGATGTGAGGGCAGGGTTTTTATCTTACTCAGCATTATCCTTCCCCAGGGTCTAAGCCTGTGTTGAATGACTGAATATGTAAATGTGAAACGAAGCTGTGCACTGCCTTGTAAATGAATTCTGGAGAAGTCAAATCCTCATCTGTTTGTTCCCATGCAGAAAGACTTGGTTTTGAATACCAGCCAGTGCCACCCCTCTGCTTGCGGAATTAGTTTGGCCAAAGTCACCTAATGTCCTTAAGTTTCGTTTGCATACTTTGAGAAATAAAGATACTAAGAGTGATGACTGTATGAGATTGTTTCCAGAAGAAATGAGGAAAATGCATACAGTTGCACAGTCAAGTCCATAGTTAAATGTAAAGAAATGTTAGCTATTAGTTTTAGTGCAGGTTTTTTTTATTAATTACCATTTCATGCATGCCTGCATAAGGCTACAGAGGGGACCAGAGATCTTTCTCATGTGTTTGGCAGAAATCTTTTTTTTTTTTCCTTTCGTTTTCTCTGTCTCTTTGTTTCTAGCAAGGTAAAAGAAAATGACAGGTCGCATGCTGCCTGCTGATTGCTGCTTTGAGTTTCACTTTCCTTTCAAATAGGAAGCCACAAATCTCAGCAGAATCTTCCAGTCTCCAAACTGGGGCTGCTGGATACATGAAACAGAACAGCTAACACCACATGTAAGCTCAATCCAACTCTTAAAAAACAGGTAAGTGACTTTTTGCCATCCAATGTTTCCTAGCTGTGTGTAAAGAAAATTGCTTGTTTGCCTTTCTTTTGAAAAAGAATTTCAGAGGAAACTTGCTGCTAATGATCATAATTTCCCCTTTTATTTGTTTTGTTTTTAATGAATTTTTCAAACACAGGGAACTCCAGAGAGTAAGTAAACTCCAGTGTAATCTCACTCAGTTCTATCAGATTTTTAAAAATGGCTTGCTTTATCAAATTGGAATTGTTTTTTACCCCTGAAAAACAAAAGCATTACAGATAATGTTGAAGTTTTCTGTGACTCTCTCCTACATTCCTTTCTTTTCCCTTCCTTCCCCCTAGGGAAATATTATCCAGACTTTGGGATAAAGTATTGTTTTGCTGGTTTTTATGCTTTTGCTGTATATACGTATGTATCTAAACACGATCTCGAGTATAGCTTTGTGTTAACAGTTTATTTTTATTTTTTTATTTTTAAAAGATTTATTTATTTATTTGATAGAGAGAGAGAGAGAGAGACAGCGAGAAAGGGAACACAAGCAGGGGGAGTGGCAGAGGGAGAAGCAGGCTCCCTGCCGAGCAGGGAGCCTAATGTGGGGCTTGATCCCAGGACCCTGCGACCATGACCTGGGCTGAAGGCAGATGCTTAATGACTGAGCCACCCAGGCGCCCCAACAGTTTATTTAAATAATATCATACTAAGTGTATCATTCTCAACTTGCTTTTTTCCACTCAAGATTAATTTTTTGAGCTTTATTAATGTGGATACAAATAGGTCTAGTTCAGTCACTTTAATGATCTTTAGTATTTCATTGTGTGCATATGCCAAAGTTTGTACATGCAGTCTTCTAATGTCATCCTAAACAATGCTGCTATGAATGTACTTGTTCCCCAAAATGATGTGTGTCTCTCAAAATAATGTGAATATTATTGAATCTCCATATCCCGGTCAACTTGGTATTGCTGGACTTTTGTTTGATGTGAAATGATATCTCATTCTTTAATTTATAGTTCTCTGTTTCTAGAATGGTTGAACATTTTTTGTATGTTTATAATTCATTTGAGTTACCTCGTTTGTGAATGTCTTCTTCATATACTTTGACTGCTTTTCCATTAGAGACAGTTTTTCCATTAGATGTGAGATACACACACACACACACACACACACAGAGTAATATTACTCAGCCATAAAAAAGGATGAGATCTTGCCATTTGGGACAACATGGATGGATCTCGAAGGGATTATGATAAGTGAAATAAGTCAGAAAGAAAAATGCCATCTGATTTCTCTTACATGTGGAATCTAAAAAACAAAACAAATGAATAAACAGTATGGGTTTATTTCTGTGTTCTGCTTTTTCTCTTGGTTTTCTATTCTTTTGTTTCATTTCCTCTCTTGTGTTTATGATGAATATGAGTCACTGAATATAAAAAAATTAAACCTAGAAAGATGTTTTCTTTGTCTAAACAAGATCTGTTTTGCATCTGCCATGCAGCTGGGGACAAAAGCAAACTTCATTTATACTAACCCAATCATAGACTGAAATTACTTAAAGATGGAGTTAAGTCTGTCCATTTCCAGCCCACCCTTCCTTCTTCCCTGTAGCTCTTCAGAATCCTTGCCCACGGGGGTGCCTTGGTGGCTCAGTCAGTTAAGCGACTGCCTTCAGCTCAGCTCAAGATCCTGGAGTCCTGGGATTGAGCCCTCCCACCCCCACCCCCCAAGTTGTCAGGCTCCCTGCTCAGTGAGTGGGGGGCCTGCTTCTCCTTCCCCCTCTGCATCTCCCCCTGACTTGTGTTCTCTTTCTGGCTTGCTAACTCTCTCTCTCTCTCCTTGCCCACGGCCTGAGAGGAGGGTTGCCAAGGCATCCTCTTTGCTGTGCTCTATTCCTCTAGCTCTGGGCGTCCAGCAAAAGTTTTGCCCAACATCTCAGCATCTCTGGCACCTCTTCTAAAGCTAACAGATGCTCCTTAGAGAAATGTGCTCCCAAATGCCAAGCTTACCTCTCAGTGTTCACTTCTTTTCCAAATCTTAGCCCTCCAATGCTTTCAAATACATGTATTGACAGTTCACCCTGTGTTCTCATTTTTCTCATTGAAAGAATTGGCATGATGGCTCATAGTTTATTCTGCTGCTGTAGGACCTCAATGTCTGTTAACTCCTTTCATATGTCAGTTTCTTCCTTTGGGAACTGTTTTCTGTATAAATTCCTTTCTCCTACCTTCTAATTCATGGTTTGACCAACTATGGTCTGTGTGACACCAACCTGTTTTGATAAAAAAGGCTTTATTGGAATATAGTCATGCCCATTTGTTCATATATTGTCTCCGTTTTTGTGTCACATTGGCAAAGTTGAGTAATTACGGCAGAGACCACATGGCCCACAAAGCCTAAAGTATTTACTCTCTGTCATTAAGAAAAAAGTTTGCTGATCACTGTTCTGATTCATTAATTTTACTTTATTCTTTACCTAGGCTTCCATTTACTTTGTCTACTGACTTTAAAAAATGTAATGGTATTTTTTATTTCTAAATTATCTATTTTTTATAGGTACCTACTATTGTTCCATTTATATATATATATATGTATATATATATATATATATTTTGCCTTGTGTATAAACAAATAACATGTTTTAATTGGGCCAGAGGAAAAAAAAATAACATGCTGAAGCTAGAAGCAGAAATCTGTGCTTTAAACCACTACGATATACTAACTAGCCTCTCAATCTATTATTGTTTTTCTATCAGATACAGAACAATGGCAGTGACAACCAGATTGACATGGAGTGAGGAGAAAAGTCTGCAGAAGATGCTTGGGAATGTGTCCTTGAGACTTATTTATAAGTCTAGTGTCCACGACAGTAACATTTCTGGTATGCTTGCTAGGTGCACTTGTCAGGGACTTACTGTAACAACAATTTACTTTAATATAAAGACGACTTTTGTGGTCTTTATGCTTGGGCATTATCCTGAAATGTCTGACCATTTAAAAAGGCACAATCCCTCCTTCTGTTTTTCATTTCAAAAGAAAAGATAATGCAACTGAAATGACAACTGCAGTTTTAGAAACAGAAACAAAAATTGCTTCTGGATAACTGGTATTTTATTCCTTTAGCCAAGAGATGTTGTCTGTAGATCCAGGCAAAAACAGACTTTCTAGGATGCTTCATTAAGCAAAGCTTTAGGAGTATATATCCTGTCTGACATCAAGTATTTGGAATGTGAAGTTTTTTGAGTTGAAAGTATGTTAAATTAGATAATCCTACATTCTGATTCTAGTCTTTCTTTGTGTTTGTGGTCATAATTTAGCTGCAAGAACAAGGAAAAATGAGAGGAACATCAGATTTCATGCCATCAAATTTCTCTTTCATAAACTTCAAAATGAAACCTAGGAAGCATAAAAGTTATGAGGTATTACTCAGAAAGTATAGGCAGCTTTGAGCAAAATGAGTTGAGAAGGAGAAGTGGAGACATGGAGAGGGAGAGCCAGTGAGGGTGGGGTTTATGTTGGCACAGTGACCCCCTTTGGGGTCAGCTCTAGGATCTGTAGGGACAGTTATATGAGAGTTTCCAGAGTGAGTTACTGTGCAGGGAGGTTAATTTTCCCTTCTCTTCGCATGATGTTGCCAACCCTAACTCCCAACTGGACAGCTCAGCCCTGGTTTATATAAGCAGACTTTCTGCCTCATTTAGAAGGTAGACTTGGGCATATTTAGCCAGGCAAGTTAAAAAGCTTATTATGCTATGTTTATTTCCTACAGGAACTGAGGATGACACGAACTACATAACAAGATAACAAGAGCCACGAAGTAAGTTAGGTTCTTGGACGATCTGTTACTCATTTTATTTAGAACACTTCTATAAATGGCATTGGAAATGAAATAGTAAGATAAAAATCATAACTTGGAGTGATAAAAATGAGTTATAATGTTACTTATGTAATACGTTCGAGGCAATTATGGCAACAACAGAGACAAAATCACTACCAACTGTGAACCTTTAAAAATCTACCAGGCAGTAGTTTGGCTTTATGTTTCCCTTTGGACTTGCTAGATTCAAAGTTTTCCAGACAGAAAGGTCTAGACGACTATTTCAGGTAATTTGTCCGAAGCCTTTCCCTGGGAATAAAGTTTTGGGGGGAATTTCAGTAAGTTTTAAAAACAAAGCCCCCTTTTCCCAATTTATAGATAAATATCTGTATTGTATATATTTTATTTCTCCTTAATATAATATTATTACTGAAATAATACTCATCTTCATTGTTACTGCTATTTGTTAGATTTGTGTGGTCTAAGGTTCATAGTTTAACAATGATTTGGTTGCTGGTTAATGTTTCTTTACTCAGATATAGATAAACGCATTTTCTTCAAGCACAAAATGCATAACCTTAGACCATTTCAAATCATATGATAGATGTTAATGCCAAGATAATAAGTAATTAAAACATACTTTTAAAAGGAAGGAAAGAAGCAGCAGAATTGTTCTGTTCCTATGGAAGTTTGGCTCTTGTCTTTAAGTACCTACTGCATATTATTTGACAGGCACAGAAATCCACTGCTAGCCGAACTCAGAGCCTACAAGCCCTGTGTAGACTTTATTTTAGAAATTCGTATTCTCTTGCTGGGTCCATTTGGGTCTGGAAAGTCTAGTTTTACCAATTCAGTGAAGTCTGTTTTCCGAGGCCATGTGACTCACCAAGCCACAGTGGCGTCTGATGTCACCAGCATTACTTAAAAGGTAAGTTATTTAAGGATTTCCTGAGGATTTTGTTTTATCAATTACAATTATCAGGTTTGTTCATTTCTTTGCCATTTCCTCTTAGAACATTAACCTCTTCCTGATCTACAAGCAATTAAATGCTAAATCAAATGTAAAAAAGGAGTAAAATTTGATTCAGAATTCCCTCTGTTGTGTTTCACTTTTCATTTTTGTGCATGCAAGAAGCAGTTATATGAAGAATGCTTTTTGGTACTTGTAAAAAAAACAGCACTAAAATTTTAAAAACTTTGTGGAAATCTTTGTCCATTATATTAGAAGTCTGTTTTTACTTATGTCCCACATGCTTTTACCTGGATTGAAATTCTTTTCTTTTTTTTTGTAATAAAATAATGAAAATTATGTATTATAACACTTGTCCATTTTACAAGGCCATTTTATAAGAAATGATCATGAAAAGCAAGACAGCAATTCACTTTGGTGGGTCAACCTTCAAAGGGTAAATTTATCAGTGATCCTACAAATACTGTCTTATTTGTAAACAAATGTAAGTACTAATACCATTTTTAAAACTGTTACTTTAGATCTACAAATTACTGTGGAAAAACTTATTTCCCTTCTATGCTTGTCAATGTTACACAATCAAATAAAAAAATTAAGGGGAATGAATAGAACATTTCATCATCAAGCTGTATTTTTCTTTGATTGCTACAAGCAAATATTGTTATCTTCTGATTGGAAATATGAGTGCACTGTCAATGCAAAATTTAGCATAAGACAGTAATGGTTCATTTTAGTTTTGTGTCACATTTAATAGCTGAAAACATTTTCTAAGACTTTCAAGAATCACATCTTATTTTTTGATGTTGGCTAGATTCTATCTATTTGACTGACTTTATTTTGGTATCTTAGCCTAGTCTCAGAAGCCAAAGCAAGGTACTGCAATGGCACTTCAATACACTAAGCATTGATTGAAATGTTTCTATTTGTGAAATATTGTGTTGGCAATAAAGACCTAAATACAAATGAGAGCTGGTCTTTTTACTCAGGGATTTCAGTGTAGGTAATAAACAAATAAGTACTATTCAATGTGATAGGTGCTGTAATGGAGGTACTCATCAGGACAGGCTCTATCTCCCTCCTTTTCATGTTGAAAGCTCCAAAGGCATTGCTCTAAGAGAAGATGTAGATCTTTAGGTCCAAATGAAATGCAAATACTACTATATAAACTGAAGGAATACGAGACAGAACATTTGTTGGGGAAACAGAGTATTTTATTTCATTTCTCAGAGACCCTTCTCTTTGAAGAATTAAATTTTTTAAAAAAGATTTTATTTATTTATTTGACAGAGAGAGAGAGAGCACAAGCAGGGGAGCGGCAGAGGGAGAGGGAGAAGCAGGCTCCCCTGCTGAGCAGGGAGCCCGATGTGGGGCTTGGGGCTCGATCCCAGGACCATGGGATCAGGACCTGAGCTGAAGGCAGATGCTTAACCGACTGAGCCACCCAGGCACCCCTGAAGAATTAAATTTATGAAGTAAACAGATTAATGAAAACTATGAATGTGCCTATTGATCTCAAAATTTTACAATGCACTTTAAGTGTGTAACTCTACTGCATCAGTGTAAGTCCTTTCACGTGGAGGCACCAGTAAGTCCTGTTCATTTAGATCAAAATATCTAATGGTATTGCTCCTGGGCATTGGACTTATGGGCCAATGGGAGCTTTTGACTCCAGTACAGATTACAATAGGTAGTAGAGGGCTTCTCATCTGCCTAGTGTGGAATGGGAGATTCGTGATTCAAGTGTTGTCTGGTATCATTGAGAAGTACTTCTCTTTGTGAATCTTCCTGAGTGTTCCATAGTTATGCCTCTGTGGAAGTATATTTGACCAATAAAAATTTTTCAGAGTTCTGAAAAATACTCTTGGGATCACAATGAGTGTTTTTATTTAGGAAAGAAGATTTGTTAAAGTGGAGCTTCTCAAAGTGGGGTTTGTAGACCCCTAAGAGTCCCTGAGGGCATTTTAGGGGATCTATGAGTTTAAAATTATTTGTGTAATAATGCTTAGATGGCTTTGCTTTATCTAGAGTATTGACATTTGAACTGATCATACACATGTAGTTTTATTTTTGGGGTGGCGCCTTAGCATGAATCAAGCAATGGCACCAGGCTTTATTAGTAGTCGCTATATACGTTCCTAGCACTGGCAGTAAACAAAATGCTAGTTTCATTTAAGAATGTAATTGATGACTAAGTAACAACCATTGATTTTATTTAAACTCACTTTTTATTATTTTATATATATATTTTGTGTGATGAAATGGGAAATACATACAAAGGGTTTCTAAGGCATATCAAGATATGGTGGTTGTCAAGTAAAGACACTGGTGCGATTGAGTTGTGAGCTGAACTTTTTTCATGTAGCGTCCTTTATAAATGAGAAAACAATTGACAGGCTTGATTATTCATACTTAGGTATTCGGTAGACATTTATGGACAATGCACAAAGTTAGCATATCACTACAAGAAAAACAACCAACCAGCAATGTTTGTTGCCAGTGATAACATCTGAGCTTTTAAGAAAACAAAAATTAGAACTTTGGGAAACTTGGATCCACCACTTTGAGGTTCATAACTTCTCAATACTTAAAAACTTACCTGATGAGATTAATGGTGCTAGTAACAAATATGATGTTTTAATATTGTGTGGTGAAATGTGCCAATGTTTGTAAGGTCTTATCTAGATCCAATATTTTCAAATGACCAAATGCATTGGGTTTATAAGTCATGCATGGATAAAAAATATATTCAATGCATAAGATAGATCAATGAATTTAATGTAGCTGAGTATGAAAATGTCACAGATCCTAGCTAACCTTTGGATAAATTATCACTTATTGAGCTTTGATGCATTATTAATGAGGAATATCCACAATTCTCTGAAAGCTGTTAAATTAAATACTCTCTCCTTTTCCTACTACTATATATATATAAGGCTAAATCTTCTTCATACACTTCAACCAAAATGATATATCACAATAGATTGAATTCAGAGGCAGATATGAGAATCCTGCCATCTTCTATTAATCCAGATAGTAAAGAGAATTGCAAAAAGTAAATTGATCCTGCTCTTTTTAATATTATTTTTGGAAATAACTTTTTCATAAAAATGTCCTTTAGGTTGACATTGCAATAGATTCATAATTGTATTTTAATATTTAAATTTTTTTGCTTAAAATTTTTAGTATGTTAAATATCAATAGATATAACCTACATACATAAAATATCTTTGAGATTCTCAATAATTTTTAAGACTATCAGGTGATCCTGAGACCAAAATGTTTGAGGACCACAGTGTTAAAATATTAGCCACTTTCTGTTCTTCCTTTTGTCATGTCTTGAATGCTAGTTGAAGAATGAATTTTTCCCTTTGATATACTTAGTTTTATAGTATAGGATATATCCTATTAAAGATGGGAAAGATGGCAAATGTCTGCCATTTAGGTTGTGTCACTCCATGGGGCTACATGAGAAAGAAGGAGTAGGTTTGTGTGTGGATTACATACCCTACATCTTAAAAGGCTGTGTGCCAGACAGATAATCAGGTAAGAATTCTCCAATCTCTAAAACATTTAAAATCAGTTTCATCAATTATTTTTAAGTTTTTACCCCATAAGGCAGTTTCAACTGTCATAGTGTTTTCAACATCAACCAACACTACTCTGCTTTAAATGAATAAGTATTCATATAAGCAAAGTAGAGTAACTTATTTTCTATAGCATTAAGATTCTCATATCTGCCTCTGAACTCAATCTTAATTGAATTCTTAATGGGGTGCCTGGCTGGCTCAATTGGTAGAACGTGTGACTCTTGAACTCAGGGTCATGAGTTTGAGCGCCACACTGGGCGTGGAGATAACTTAAAAAAAAATAAGGTGATCTCAAAAGAAAAAAAAAAAAGAAAGAAAGAAAAGAAAAGAAATACAGCCAAAAGGCAGCATTTTACTCATACAGATCCCAGAAAAAGGACAGGAGGAGATTGTGTTTATTTCACTCTTTATTGTAAAATAGATAGGAAAGTAATAGTTCAATCTCATGCACTTTTTTGATCAATTAGACAAAATCTTGGAACAATTAACCACTTTTTGTTGAAGTGTGATATTATTATACTGTAAATACTTAGGTTTCACTACTTAAATGCTACCTAAATAACATCCAAAGGTTGGCTCTGCCACTAGCTAGATGTGCACCCATAAGCAAGTAACATACTTGTCTCCGTAAGTCTTACTTTTTTATGTGTGAAATGTAGGTAATAATAATGCCCATTTCATAGGGTGCCTGAGAAGATAAATGAGATGATGTACTTTATATTCTCAAAAGGTCAACCATTATTATCCCCTTTCTTTTAGGCATTGGGTATAATACAATCAGCCTCAATTTCTGAACAGTGACTTCCATTGCTTCTCAGTTGTGCTTGATCAGAAACCTTAACTATGTACTCAGACACTAAAAAGCCATGATTAAAAACATTTGTGCCAGATACTTTGCTAGTTACTGGAAACACAGAGTTGACTAAGAACATAATTCTTATCCTCACAATCTAAGGAGACATAAGATACAGGGAGGTACAACAGATGGGAGAAATCGTGAGCCTACGAAAACCTTCATTTTTTTTTTAAAGATTTTTATTTATTGAGAGAGAGAGAATGATAGAGAGCATGAGAGGGAGGAGGGTCAGAGGGAGAAGCAGACTCCCTGCTGAGCAGGGAGCCTGATATGGGACTCGATCCCGGGACTCCAGGATCATGACCTGAGCCGAAGGCAGTCGCTTAACCAACTGAGCCACCCAGGCGCCCCAAAACCTTCATTTTTCATAACAGAGAGGCAGTCAATTCAGTCCAACATTGAAACATATGGGTAAAAAATAATGAATGTAGCCCTTTACTATATTTTTAATTTTTTTGAGATTTTATTTACTTATTTGACAGAGAAAGAGTGCACAAGCAGAGTGACAGGCAGGCAGAAGGATAGGGAGAAGCAGGCTTCCTGCTGAGCAGGGAGCCCAATGCGGGGCTTGATCCCAGGACCCTGGGATCATGACCTGAGGCGAAGGCGGGCACTTAACCAACTGAGCCACCCAGGTGCCTCCCCCTGTAGAGAGGTCCCTTTACTGTATTTTTAAATCTATCTTCTCAATCCTAGAAAGATTATTGTTCTGTTGTAAGGAGATACTAACTTAAAATTTGGTATTTCTTGTTTCATTTTCGTTTCTTTTTCTTCTGTGAAATTAAAGAAATTATAGTATTTTATTTAAAAATGCATTTTCAATATATTTTCCCCTCTCCTTTTTTCTCTATCCATTAGTCCATTTGAGTACACAAAATGTTTAGAGAGGAGTCTTAAATGATGTGTAACCAATGTCAGTGGTAGTTTCTTTCTTTTTCTTTCTTTCTTTCTTTCTTTCTTTCTTTCTTTCTTTCTTTCTTT